TATATATATATATATATATATATATATATATATATATATATATATATATATATATATATATATATATATATAATCGTAGTGTTCGGATTAGCTTGTGTACATTTTAAGTACCTTCATAGGTACTTGCTACCTTCTATAGTACCGAATTATACTGTCCATCAAGGTTTGGATAGCTACAAAAAATCACCTGGTATTTTTTGTCTGCGTTAGATTTGAAGCAAGTCTTTTATATTTCTATATATCCTTTCCATTTTTTGTCTATAATTTTGTAACAGTGGCGGATCCACATACAATGAATCATCTACTATACAAATAGTATAAAATAAATTATTTTTGTTTATATATGAAGTACATGCTCAAATCTACGGTGCAGTATTTTATATTTTCTTGAATTCCCTCATAATAGATGTCTCTGTCACTGCTTGTGCATATATGTATGTGTGTGTATACGTATTTGTTTTGAAAAATAATGGAAAAAAAAGCTTTTGAGTTTCTCTTGATAGATTATGTTTTAGTTTTACCTACATACTAATTTTTTTTTGTGGAAGATTCCCAAGGAAATCCGCAGCCGCTATCCTTTGGGTGCGCATTGGGTAACTTGCTCGCTGTGCAATAGCTCATAAACCATATATGAAATATAAATTGCACTAGGCAAGCCCGATGCAACAAGCTTTGACTGAGGAGGCTGCTGGTGAGGGGAATCGATCCCAGGTCTCCTGTATAAGAAACTATTCACCCAACCAAGCCAACCCTTGTGGGCACCATACTAGTTTCTTTCTTCTCTCGGTGCAAGCCTGGTGCAATGAGCTTTGACTGAGGAGGCTGCTAGTGAGGGGAATCGATCCTAAATCTCTTGTATGAGATACTACTCACTCAACCAAGCCAACCCTTGTGGGCACCATACTAATTTCTTTCTTCTCTCTATTTATCACTTATACGTTTTTAATTTCTTGACTATAAATGCACTTCTCTTGACTAAGTAAATGATGAGTAGATAGTTTTAATGGCGTTTACAACAATTTGAGTCAATACAAATATAATGGTCAATAAATTTATTTATTCTTGTCAACTTGTTGAGTCAATTTGGAAATTTGAGGATCTCAATTAACTAGCTCGCAAGTATGATATTATATGTATAAAATTTTTGGGCATGTCTCTTAATTTTATATTGTTAAGAAATTGTGAAGGTTTCAACGATCTTGGTTCAGTTTGCGTGGTATAAATACATGCAAAAAGATTTGATGTATGTATTTCAAATTTCGAGGGAGGAAACTGTGGATGTCGAGTATTAGGATTGTAGTTAGTGTTGGGTTTGTTATTTAATAAATAATAACAAAAGAGGTGTGAATGGAAAATGGTGGGAAAAGAAATGGAGGGATGACCCGCGACCCGGTCCGATCTAGTCCATTTTTCTTTCCCGGATTAATTTAAATTTGTTTTAAATTTCCCGCAAAAATTTCCAACAGCCATGGCTGTTCTGAAACAGTGTCACACCTGTTCCAACAGCCATGACTATTCTGAAAGGCTGCAAACCTCTTCAGAGGGTCACACCTGTTCCAACAGCCATGACTGTTCTGAAAGGTTGCAAACCTCTTCAGAGGGTCACACCTGTTCCAACAGTCATGACTATTCTGAAAGGTTGCAAACCTCTTCAGAAACATCACCAAGTTGGCTATAAATAGACCTTCAAATCCCAGAATATTTACTTACTAAATTTTCTGAATCTTCTTCTTCTTCTGCACAAAATATTCCAGTGTGTTTTACGACCATCGAGTGGTTCGTCGATCACCAGAGTTTTAGGTACCGATACACTGGTGAGTTAAATCGTTCTATCCTGGGAGGATATATTCCATAACCTCGAGTACTTGAGGGGAATAATTTCCTTAAGGACACACTATGTATTCAATGGGCTCGATTTGTTCCTACAACGTTTTACAGAATTTATTTTGAAGAAATTTACTGTTTTTCGGAATTAAATTTCTACTAACTTTCTGTTTCTGTTTTTTCAGAAAGATTATTATTTAATTTATTTACAACAATACAGATAAATAACAACACATATAGTCTAAACTAGATACAACGAGTTCTGCCAAACTTATTTGTTGGGATCGAAATAATAAGGCGTTATGCGAAAGCTAACAAAATAAACTTTAGCAACAATAAATCAGACAACAAAGAAATAATATATTAAACTAGATTTGTCATGATTTGATCAATCAACCTACATATGATTAATATAACAGAAAATAAATAGTCTCCCCTACACAAGACTTTCTTAATGTTACATTATGAAGGTTGTGTTTGTTTTTGTGTGAAAGAGGAATCCTCAATTTTCAAATTCCACAATATTTTCCTCCAGAAAAGGGGTCTGTCAAATATGAAAAATAGGGGTAGTGAAGCATGATGTTACAATTTAAAACAATATATAATATTACTTTGATTATAGATAAAATATTTATGTAAAAGACTAATTAAAATTTCGTAGTAAGGAAGAGAACGTATAAATTGGAAAATAGAGATAGTGTAAGAATACTTATATTTTGAATTAATTTCAAAATAAATATATTAAATAATTAAATAATACTGTACTTAAAAATATTATTGATAAATTTGAATGGTAAAAAGTTTCAAATAAGAGGATAAAAGCGTAAAAATATATTAAAGCAAGACATTAAGTCAACTGATAAGCTAATAAAAGGTGACATGACAATATAACTATATTAAGTAATGAATAATACAATAACTATAAGCAAAGAAAAATACATGTAAATAAGTGTGTAAAAAACATAGAAGCATAAGACTTATTTGAATTTGAGATGAAAAACAAAGTGATAAAAATTTTATTAAAATAATATGATCTAGTATGCTCAAACAAGACAGATCACAACATGACATATTTAGTATTCTTTATGTTGATACTGAAACGAAATGCAAGTATTAAAATCAAGGAGTTGGATTGTTACGAATATTTAAAAAAGAAAAATAAAACAGAACAAGTTATCCACTACCAGATTTGAAAAATAGTTTCATATTCTTCTTCTTAATTAATATTTAATGATTATATATAATTTTTTCCTAGAATAATTATATTTAACATAATTTGTCATGGTTTGTCTCTGGCGTATAGAGTACTAATACTAGTTATGATAAATATTCTACGTTTCCTTTAAATAAAAGAAATATCTAAATATAGTAAGAAAATTATGATAAACCCTAACACTCATCGCATGCATCGAATCTAGATCTGCCACTGATTCTAACCATCATTTTGATTTTTTAGCTTGAATAAGGCCACATTTCTTTATAGAATAAAATCAGTTATTGAAGTTGAACAGATATCTCATTTATTTCATTTTAATTTTTTCATTTGTCTTCATTTCTTTGCTTACTCGTTACTGTTAGAAAAAATAATAATTGAAAACGAATTGAATAAAGCTTGAGGCGTGAGAACGATTTTCCTTAAAAAGATGTTGCCCGTATAGAAATTGGGGAAATACAAACAATCTTCTTCAGGATATAACAAGCAAAGAATATACTTGTAGATTTTCTATATTCACTTTGTTGGAAGAACTTCTATTTATAGAGCAACAATCGGATCTTTTCAAAAAGATATGTAATAGATCGATCCAGTTCCCGTTCTTTTCCGGTGCACTCGCTTTATATCTCCGACACACAAGGAAGGATGCGGTGGGAAGAAAGCAGCCCTAGCCTTTGTCTGGCCGATCATTCCACTGGCATCTCGCATTCACGCCCCCGTTTGACTGCCGCATAGGCTGCTGGCAGAGTGGGGGCTTCTTTCACAAACAGACGCAATTGTTTATTCAAATATATTTAAAATTTAAATTTAAAATAAAACATATTTTAATTGTAGAAATAAATAAAAATAAAAATTATTATTTTTGGTCCAAGTCTTTGGTTAGTATTAGTTCTAAAGTAATCACATAAAAGGACAAGGACGTAAAAGGCACCAAAAATAACCTTTCACCACCGATGTTTAACTCTTATAACAAACTATCCTTCAGTTACTTGACTCCATTGATTTGTGATGATTAATTTTGTTTTGTTTACACACACGTTGCTCTAAAAGAATAACGTTTTGTTTCAGTTTTGAGAATCAATAATTTTTTGTTCAGTTTTTTATCATAATTTGGAGTATTGTACTTTAATTTTCTGAATATGACAAAACAAAATCTTTCTGAAAATTTACGCACGTACAAAAATGCTTAAATTTAAAAAAATCTACATAATATATTCAACTAATGAATAATTTAATCACGAGAAAATATCAATTTAGTGACCACCTTTTTATTTTGTTTAACCGAACAGGAGCAATAAATCAGATGACCAAGAGCTTGGCTTGTGAATGGGCCAAGGACAATATTCGGGTCAATGCGGTTGCTCCAGGAGTCATTATGACCCCACTTATTGAAACGGCAATTAAGGTAAGTTTTTCTTATTTAAATTTTTTCTAAAAAAAAAAAGGACAGCCAATTGCACGAAGCATCCTGCATTCATATATGGTTCGGAGAAAGGGCACACCCAAGGGTGTGTGTGATAGAAGCATCTTACTCTAATACAAGCATCAGTGGTAGCTTACACTGCTCGAACTCGTAAGCTATAGGTCACACAAAGACAGCTTTATGTTGCTCCAAGGCTCCCCTTCTTTTATTTAATTTGTTTTTGATATTTTTAGTTTGATATTTGTGCGCTTTTTTGTTAATGAAAGAAATACTCATTTGTTGAAATGAAAAAAAAAATCTATCTATAACATGAAAAGAAAGTACTATTAATAATGTGTTTATTTAGTATGGGGGTGGGGTGGGTAGGTGGGGTGGGGCGGGGTTGGGGTGGATGTGGGGGTGAGTTGGTAAGGGTTGGTGGGGATGGGGAATAGGGTGGGGAAGGTTGAGAAGGAATTTTGAAAAATATTTTCCCTTTTCTTGATAGAGAAAATATTTTCTTCCAATTGGAGAAAAATGAGCTCATGAGGAAAATGTTTTCCAAAACATTTAGGCCAACCAAACAGGGAAAAATTAAAAAAATATTTTCGTTCATACCAAACACATCCTTAACGTAATATCTACTATTAAATAATGGATAGTTAAATAATCTTCAAAAAAAAAATATACAAAAAAATAACACAAAACTAACAAACAAAAAAAAAAGGAAAAAGAAAACAACAATAAAATAAAGAAGGAAGACAATTAAAGTGGGCCTTAGCCCATCTGCTTCAAATTGACGAAGCTAGAAAAGGGTTTGAAAACAAAAAAAGCCCTTTAGCCAACCACATCAAACGAGAAAAGAAAGAAAACGTTTCTAGTGTTTCTTAGCGCCGATACCGTGTTTCACTTCGTCATCGGCACATATTTTTGAGCTTCCACAATAAACTCCAGGTAATTTCATGTAATTCTTTTTTCTTTTGATACAATATTATTTTTGTTCATGATTCCTTGCGGGATTGAGTAGAGAAGATGCTAGGATTGGATTAAGAGTATAAAAGATAAAGTTAAGGGAATTGAAAAAGGGAGAAGCGTCACATTTAAACTTCTGTAGAATCAGAAGATGACTAAAATCCCTAAAGAAAGAAAAGGTTGGATTGGAGAAACAAAAGAAGCATAAAGCTTCACCAACGTGAAAGAAAAATTTGAGAAAATAAAAAGCTTTGATCACTAAAGCTTTGGGCACCAGGTCCAGTGAAGTTTGTAGTTGCTCTCAGTGACATTACTCGACGTCTTAGAACAAAACAATCAATTTCTCCTTTTTTTTTTGTTATTTGCTTGAGATATTTTCCATAGTGTATGCTTTCATTGAGTACAAAAAAAAAGGATTTAAATATCAATTAAGAAGGAAGATCATGGACAATAATATTATCCGATTTTTGTAGTATTCATATGATTTAAGGAGACCAAATAGTACAATAAATAGACTATATGAATGACCTTTTTTTAGAAGATTATGGACTCACTTAAGTTAACTGTAGTACGGACAGACAAATTTGACGAATTGAGAACTAAACGTGTGATCCCGAGGGGTGGATATTCAAATTTAGTTATGAATTAGCCCGAACAAGGAAACTAACACGAGATCAATATGATGTGATCATAGATCAATATTGTGTTTTCATAACTTGCATGATTTACACATGATTTTTGATATGAATATGTTACCGATTATTTTGAGTTGCATGTGAGACAAGTCTTTTACTCGATATGATACCGAAATAGTTATTTGAGATGATTACCATTGTTTTAAATAGTCTTGTTGTCACTAGATATGTTCTACCGTTACTTGAATTTACTATTATCGAAATTAAATTACATGATTTGATAAGAACCGAAATGCCCTATATTGTTTTAAAATATTTTTCCTATGAGTATATACGGATACAGAGACAAGTATAAATGGGAGTAGACTTTGAAGGATCCCGTAGCTAAAGGCGGGTTTGTTAGACCTAGTGCACCTTGTATTTACCGATTACAGAGTACAGTTATAGCCCTCGCTAGTGGGAAGGTAGAACTAGCATACCGTTACCGATTTTCCTCGAGTAGGGACTACCGTTATATTTGACTTCTTGCGAAGAAGTCCACAGTTATACGGATTACATGATCCGTTCATTGAAACCTCCCAAATGTGAATATCGATATTAGAAACAGTGGTTACCGAGCTTATTACCGAACTGTTAATTGTATTATACTACAAGAAAAGCATGACGAGACTGAAAATTATTTATTGTTTCTAAAAGGGCATTTTTATGTTATTTTCTGTTTGATATACTAGCATGTTTTCTGACTTGTCCCCAATAAAAACCGTTGTGGTTAAGTGTTATTACTCACTGAGCTAGCGACTCATTCCCCGCTAATTGTTTTACAGAGACAGCAGCTGACGCAGGCGAGGATTTTGTTAATTAGAGCGCACAGGTTGATATTTCTCGATGAGCCTCGCACTTGTTCGCGTGGGCAGAGATTTTATTTATTGTTATGATCTTTTCATTGAACTCTTAGAGTCGCTCCATAGTCATTATTTTAGTGTCGTGAGTATTCTTTTGTTATTATAGTCTTATGTTGAGTATTCTCATTTAT